ACCCATCACCACAGAGCTAATAACCCACAGAAACCAGGAAACTATCAGCCAATCATGTTGCTGCACTGGCATATGCACAAACACACAGTAGTTTCATTTCCTATAATTTCAGGGTGTGTGGTAGCAAACGTCTTCTTATCGTCCTAATCTGTGGTTTCCACAGCAAAGCTGGTAGATTAGAAATGTTCTTTGCTAATCATCAGACTGACATTTGTTCAGTGCTCTGGAGGGTTAGACTGAAGACCCCGAGATTAATTAATGAAGCGCAGATGTAGTTGAAGTATAAGTTATTAGTATGTATAAGAAAAAGCGCTCTTTGTGAATGAATTTGACACATTTTGGTGATTCTATTCATGCAGTTAATATATCCAGTAAGTGATGATGCTTTAAATTAGATGGGAACCTCAAATTTATTGTAAAGATGTCTGCAGAGTTGTGAGAAGTCTTTAAATCCACTGTTTAAATAGTAAAAATGACACACGGATGGGGTCTGTGTCTATTTTCCTTAAGATTTAGATTTCATAGAAAGATCTAGAACGTGGCTAAACTCCAGAGCATGTTGTTGTCATAGTTTTCATGTATGTGCATTAGTGCTTCCAGCAGGAGAATATGTGACGTTCTTGAGGTTGTTTAAAAAGCTGTTTCAGTAACAAGTGCTTGTTGAGGCTTAGTGTGACGTTTCCTTCTCTGACAGGTCACAAAGGTGCTGAAGGACCTGGACCTGGAGAAGATCATGACGGCTCAGGCCAAGAATCTGAGCGGAGGCCAGAAGAGGAAACTGTCTGTGGGCATCGCCATTCTAGGAGATCCCAAGGTACCTGTGCGCAATCTTACTTCAGCTTTTTCCAATCCAGACACCAGTCCTTCTCGGATAACGTGGGTTTGTGGTCGTTTCTGTCAGATCCTGCTCTTAGACGAGCCCACGGCCGGCATGGACCCCTACTCCAGGCACCAGGTGTGGTCTCTGCTGAAGAGTCGCCGGGCCGGCAGAGTCACTGTGCTCAGCACGCACTACATGGATGAGGCAGACATCCTTGCTGGTACGAATGCTCCTCGTTGTGTGAGATACACAAACCCACACTTTGGACTGGAAATATAGACCAGAAATTGTGCTTTATTCTTATCCTGGATGATGGTATCTCAGGATCTTCTAGCTCGATCAATATTTTCATCAGGAGCTGGTGTTGCAGAAAACTTTCCGTCGTTTCTTGATGATGTTTAAAATAAAACCGTTTGACCGGATGAACAGTTTTCACTCATGCATATTTTAAAGTATACTGCTAACATATGCTCCAGCTTGGTGATATTATTCATCAGGAGGTCAGCACTGAGTTTCCTTCCTTGCTGCAGGAGAATTTCAAGAGTGAGATTGAAGGTGCAGAGGCGAGCAGAAAACACCGGCACAGCTTTATGTAACCGAGCAGCAGCTCCAGTTTTATACTTGACCCGTATGAGAACAAAGGTTTGTCTCCACGCGAGTTGAAAACATGTCTGATTTATTTCTGTTGAATGTTTGTTTCTGCAGACCGCAAAGCCGTGATCTCTCAAGGTCAGCTGAAGTGTGTTGGCTCTTCTCTGTATCTCAAGATCAAGTGCGGTGTGGGCTATCATCTAAGGCAAGGACCCCTTTATTGACTCTTACAAGAACCCAAAAGGAATAATTAATTTGATTGTTTTTGTTATTGCTGAGTTTAGAACGTGTATTAACCGCAGGCGTCTTTATCGAACTAGATTTAGATGTTTTTCTTCATCCTTTGCAGAATGTCTATCAGCGAGGCATGTGACGCGGAAAAGATCACGTCTTTGGTTAAGCAGCACGTTCCCAAAGCCAAGTTATCCCGACAGCACGAGGCGGAGCTGACCTTCACTCTGCCCTTTGAGAGCATGGACACGTTCCCAGGTTCGATTCACAGGAACGTCCGTCGGTCACATTTAAAAAAAGTTAAAGAAAAATCATGACATGAGTCGACCATACAGAGGTTTCCTTTGTGCGTGTTTGTTTTTTGAGCATTAAATTGTACTGATTACATCCATCCGTCTTCATCCGCTTTATCCGAGGCCGGGTTGCGGGGGCAGCAGCCTAAGCAGAGAGGCCCAGACCTCCCTCTCCCCAGCCACCTCCTCCAGCTTGTCCGGGGGAACACCAAGGCGTTCCCAGGCCAGCCGAGAGATATAATCTCTCCAGCGTGTCCTGGGTCTGCCCCGGGGCCTCCTCCTTGTGGGACATGCCTGGAACACCTCACCCAGGAGGCGCCCAGGAGGCATCCTTGTCAGATGCCCGAACCACCTCAGCTGGCTCCTTTCGATGTCGAGGAGCAGCGGCTCTGATTATATTTTTAGTTTACAGTCGGGTCACGTTTTTGCACATTTACCCCGACTCTTGTTTTGTGCTGAAGGCTGATTCTCTGATAGCTGCCTGCTTTCTGTAGCAACATGCATGCAGCTGTGCACAGACATGTACTCCTAAATGTGCCCAGCAGCAGCTTTTGGTTTAGCTGCCTTGCTTTGACATTTTGCATTATATAAAAATGTTTTTAAAAGTCATAACTCCAAAGCAATCGACTGCAAATAAAGCAATTTCTTGAACCTCTGAATCTGCACTGGGGCAGAGCAGAGAGATACTGGAGCAGTTGTTCCTGCTCAAAGGGGAAAGTTTACTTACTCCTGTCCTTCATGGTTTCTTTAATATCCTTTAAAAATATCCAGACAGTATTTTAAAAATAGAGTATGACTCAGTCATGATTCAGCTTCGACTGTGAGCCACGCAGCGCGCTGAGCGGTCCTGAATTCATCTTTCGCAGGCCTGTTCTCGGAGCTCGACTCTCAACCCAGACTGGGAATAGTCAACTATGGTGTTTCCATGACAACGCTGGAAGATGTTTTTCTGCGTTTGGAGGCGGAGGCTGAAGTGGATCAGGCTGGTGAGTGTGTCGCCAAACTGAAGATTGCTGCTGATTTAAGTTTTTTCGAACGGCAAAAGTCTGCAGGAGCTCTGTTGTTGAGTAGAAGTCGTTTCACGTTTTCAGACTACAGCGTGTTTAATCGAGAGCAGGCGGACGACGAGTGCGACGCCGCCTCCCTGGACGACACGGACCAGAGGCTGCTCACGTTCTCCGACACAAAGTCGGACGTTGTGACGGGTCACGCCCTGTGGCGGCAGCAGTTCAGCACCGTGGCGTGGCTGCACATGCTCAACATGCGCCGGGAGAGGAAGGCCTTCATTTACACGTGAGCGTTCTCTTTATTTTACTTTATTAGCCAATCTCTTTATTTTGAAGATATCATGGGTAAACCAGGCTTCTTATTTATTACCTTAATACAATATATGTTTTTTGTTTTTGTTGTTTGTATGTTAATCTGTCATATGATGCACACACACGCTCCATCTGCTCCTGCAGCTTAGAGTTAAAGAGCTAAATGACATCCATAGTTTTCTGCCTCTTTGTTTGTGTTTTGAGGCTTTATTCCTCCCATTTATCGAGATTTTCCTGACTCTAACCTCCCCCTTCCTCCTCTTCCAGTCTGGCCTTGTTCCTGGTGTTTGTGGCTGCAGTCCTGGTTTTGTCGCTGGCCACAGGAAACATCCAGATTCACTCCTCAGACCGCCAATTTCTGCCAATTTACCTCCTCAGGAGGAACCAGGCGCCGCAGAGATACGCCACAAGCCTCCTGGTTCAGAACTCAACTGGTGAGTGTCGCAGATACAAACACGGCAGCCTGACAGTTTCTGTGTAGCTGAGTTAAAAGGCTTGTTTCACTTTCAGTGGGTTTTTTCCCTGAATAAGACTCGAGATCTCAGCTCTATCACAAAGCACAACATGATGTAAACACTGTGATGAAGCATTGCACTTCTGCACAAGTGTGAAATATCCCACTAACCATAATCATTACAATATGTCCCGTGGGTGTAATTTAACAGACCTCCTTGATGTTGATTTGAATTGTTTTTATTGAGCTTCTACATGATGCAGTTTTATAATTGCAAGCTGTAGCCCCCCAACCAGCATTAAGCTTCCTCTGAGGGTGTCTGGGCTCACGCTGAGTGGCAGCAAACTCAGATCATGTTGAAGGAGGTCTGCCCATCTCTGCTTGGCCCGCTGCCCCTGTGACACAGCAGAAAATGGTTGTATGGATGATTTTAGCCGTGCCTTTTTCGTACCTGCAGGCTCTGATATTTCCGATTTCATCCACAACATCGAGTCTCAGGACATCAAAGTGGAAATGATGAAGCAGAGCGACTACATGGCGGCGGCTCCCCACAGCGCTGCCATCAACGTAACAAGATCCAGCAAGGTCACTTTAATATTGCATAGATTGAATTTAATTACTGATATCAGATTAGATGAAACTGGAGCACCTCCACCTACGTGTAATGTGTCACGGTGCTCGTGTTGCAGGCAGAGTGCTCTTTGTTTGAGGGCTGCTGGCTCCTCTAACTGAGAGCTTTCTGTTTGGATGGAGTGCTGAGTTCATGATGCTGTTGACACTTTGTTTCATGTGTTGTTAACAGGGTTTCAGATACAGCGTTGCATTTAACAGCACGACTGTTCACTCCCTGCCCATGACTGTCAATATACTGAGCAATGCTCTTCTAAGAGGTCTGAATGGGACCGGGCAGATCCGAACGTGGACCAAACCCTTTGAATATGTGAGTGCCTTTGACAAATATAGAGTCAGATAACAGAGGTCGTTTCCAAGACACTAAACGTTCCCTTTGTGATGCCCATCAGCAAATCCCTGATGCTACATCCTACGCGCTGGTGTACATAGAGGCGATCATACTGGGAATGCTGGCAGCTGGAATGCCGGCATATTTTGCAATGGACCACACTCGAGACCGAGAGGTAACCAGTTAGTCACAGAGATAAAAACAGATTCATCTTTTCAACAAAAGGTTTAGAGCACAGTGTGAACATCGGGCCACACAGTCACATTTCTTACATGTTTCTCGTCACTTCTGTGTTTTGTTTTGGGGGTTTTGTCCCCTTTGCAGATAAAGTGTCGCTCAACTCTGCGCATCTCTGGTCTCGTACCGTCAGCGTACTGGTGCGGTCAGGCAGCGGTGGACATCCCGTTCTATTACCTCATCCTGTCCTTCATGTCCATCATCCTTTTCTCCTTCCACACCGGAAACCTGCTCAACTCCAGCAACCTCTCTGCGGTGGTGCGTCCAGCTGCTTAAAGACTTTATTCCTCTGTAATACAACACATATGTGACTTCGTCTCACGGCTTCTGCCCCGCCTTAGGTTCTCTGCACCGTTGGCTTCAGCCCAGCCATGATTCTCTTCACTTATGTGTCGTCTTTCGGCTTCGCCCGAGTCCAAAGCAACAGGGATTTTTTCTCCGTCATCTCCATGATGGTGAGACTCAAACATGCAATCCTGAAAAAAACCTGCTGCTGCTGTTTCTTCTTCTTCTTTCTTCTTCTTCTTCCTTCTTTCTTCTTCTTCCTTCTTCTTTTTCTTTCTTCTTCTTTTTCTTCCTTCTTCTTCTTCTTCCTTCTTCTTTTTCTTCTTTCTTCTTCTTCTTCTTTCTTCTTCTTCCCCCTTCTTCCTTCTTTCTTCTTCTTCCTCCTTCTTCCTTCTTCCTTCTTCCTTCTTCCTTTCTTCTTTCTCCTTCTTCCTTCTTCTTCTTCTTCCTTCTTCGTTTCTTCTTCCTCCTTCTTCCTTCTGCTTCTTCTTCCTTCTTCTTTCTTCTTCTTTTTCTTCCTTCTTCTTCTTCTTCCTTCTTCTTCTTCTTCTTTCTTCTTCTTCCTTCTTTCTTCTTCTTTTTCTTTCTTCTTTTTCTTTCTTCTTTTTCTTCCTTCTTCTTCCTTCTTTCTTCTTCCTTCTTCCTTTCTTCTTTCTTCTTCTTCCTCCTTCTTCCTTCTTCTTCTTCTTCCTTCTTCTTTCTTCTTCTTTTTCTTCCTTCTTCTTCTTCTTCCTTCTTCTTCTTTTTCTTTCTTCTTTTTCTTCCTTCTTCCTTCTTCTTCCTTCTTTCTTCTTCCTTCTTCCTTCTTCTTCTTCTTCTTTCTTCTTTCTTCTTTTCTTTGTTCTTCACATGACAACAAAAATGCTTTAGATTGAAACCTTTATTAAAAATAAATGAATTGCTTGTACCTCAGGTGTGCGTCGTGTCAGCCTCGGTGGTTCAGTTGTCCTTCGTAAACAACAATCCAGTTTTGACAAGAACCCTGCACAACCTCTTGTGTTTGTTCAACCCGCTGTACCCTCTCATGGGCTGTCT